AATTGTAACCAGAACATAAAATGCATAAAGTGGGAAATCTGTTATTTCATCTTATTGCATCAACACAGTACATTGTTATTTATTATTAACTGTTTTGCAATTTTATTATTGTTGATAGCTAAACTTATTAGTAGCATTACAAAATTTGTTAACTTTTTTTACTAACGTTATAAAAATTTTTAAAAAAATTATTGCTGGCAGTCAGAGCTCCAGCGACTGATTGTCTACTGGCAGCCAGAGTTTCGGTGATTGGCTAACCATTGGAGACATTTGATTTTTTTAAAAATAATAAATAAAATAAAGGATAATATGGTCATTTTAGTAAATTTACAAATCCCAAATTGGTCGCTTATGCTTAAATTGATATTTTATAAATTTAAGCGACTATTTTGCGATTTTCGAGTTTAAGTGTCATTTTTTTAAATTTACATTATCAGTTTTTTTATTTACATTATCAGCATTTTTGCGAATGATTAAGAATTATTATACAACTACTTTTTTGTTGTTTATTTGTCGTAAGAAAAACATGGTGCAAGGTGATGAATTTTCAAACTGTTGTCTTCTTTATTAAACATTGAAAAAAAAAAACATAATGAAACGAAACGTAAATGTTAAATTTATGAAAGTAAAATCAAAGATTTGTCTATTCCAAGCCCTTGTACACTTGCAAGTTGCCTACTTAGTTGGAAGAAGCTCAATCCTTCCTCTAAAATAATACATTGGGAGATATTAATTTCTCAAAATAAGGTGTCAATAAATGACTAGATAAACTACTGTTCAGTTCCTTCCTTATTTATTGGGTTGAATTTAATTTGGAGAATTTGGTTAAAAAAAAAAGCATTTCATTTGGAGAAGACGAATACGAATGTATCAAAATGCTCAAAAACGAAGGCTCGTGGCTCTCGAGATTCCTCACTTGCAAAGGACACAATGCCCCACAGAAAAATTTAATTAACAGAAACAAATGGAAATAATTATACTACTGAATTAAATATACGTGGTCCCATTATAAATCCAACACAACCTGTTTGAGAGTAAAGAATGTAAATATATAATGAGGCCAAAAAAGAAAGAGATTGTCCGGTCCCGGGGGGGGGGGGGGAGGACAAACAGAGGGAGATGATTTGGGCTTTTGTTTCCGAAAAAATAAAAAGTTAAAATACATCTAACATTCAAAAATCGTTTTTTAGATCTAGTGCTCTAAAATATTTTTAGGTATGTTCAGCATTTCCAAGCATTTTTCAGAGGCACCAATCACCCTGAGATTTTTTTTGCCTTGGTGCTGCATTTAAAAAAATACTTTGAAATGCTAAATGTATTAAAAAATATTTACGGTGTTGAACGTATCTAAAAAAAATATTTCAAAGTATTAGACGCACCACAAAATATTTTAAAATACTATATGTATCTGAAAAAATATTTCAGAGTACATCTTAATCCACAAGTCAACAAAAAACATGGTTGAATAGTGTTTTGTCAAACGCCTTGAGAAAAATCACTCTAAATATTAAAGTAAATTGATGATAAGTTTCAATACAGAAAATAATAATAATCCTATACTGTTAACTTATCTTGATCAGGCCAAAAAAAAAAAAAGAAACATTATGAAATTTTTTAATAATTGTATGCTTTTAAATATTTTTTAAATTTCAGTTGAGGAAGTGCTGGTTGAACAAAACAAAAAAAGCTAGAGAACCACTATTGAAATCATGGTTAAATTAAATTAATTATGTCTTTTCATGGTGGAAAATTTTAGAGGGTCCCATCATTCAAAGTCATCACTCATTTTTCAGCTCAAAAAAAAAGTCATCACTCATTTGTCAACAACCATATCTATGTAATAAATAAAACTAATCAAAGATATTATACTTTAAGGACATGACACTTTCCTTTTTTTTTTTTTTAAGCGAGCAGGGCATGATAACTTTACTAAAAATAAAACAAAAGGTCGCGTTTTTAATCTCAGTTTTAGTTTTTGTACTTTAAATTAAAAAAAAAGTAAATAAAACTAAATAGTTGAAAAAGAAATGGCAGCAAAATAAAGATTTTCTTAAAACTATTTAATTTTTCAATTAAACGATGGAGATATGCTTAATTAGTTACGATTCATTTCTATGGTTAGGGCTGAAGTTGCTGGAATCACAGGAAGAATGATAATAGAGATGAGTTTAATTAGTAACTATTTGCACGAAGTTATGTGTTTACCACCTTTTTTTCTATTCACAGAAATTATAAAATTACCATCTGGTCAGTCAATTATTTGTTAAAAGGAATTTTAACATGGGGTACCACATCAAACCAAACAGCCTTCATGAGCTACACATAGAAGGCAATAAAAAATACACGTCATTTAGATAATTGTTTTGTCTCATTATATACAATACTGTAAGGTTGCGGGTGTACTAAATAGCGTGGTACTAAAACCCAATCAGATGTATGACGACAAAGTATTCTTGCCTTCAATCCTTTTTTTGGTAGGATTAACTGCAATCCTTTAATCAATGAACTAATAATTATTAATAATCCTCTTGGTCCTTTTTTTTAAAAGCATGATGAATGATTTAAAAAAACAATTAAAAGTAGTTAAAAGTAATATATAAGTAAAAAATAACCTTTCTTTTTTCACGTATGTCCTCATTTATAAGGAAAGAAATAGAGTAGGAATGGGAAAAAATATGAAAAAAAAAGTAGTATATCAAGTTGCTAACTTTTTAATTAACAAAATTTATAAAATTAATTATGAGCAAAAATAGTAAAAACACATCAAATGTTCAGAATAAATTAATTAGAATCTTGTAAAAAAAATCATGACAATTCAAATTTCAGGTTTTTATGAAAAGGATTGGAAGAAGTAGAATAAGAAAAAGAAAACATTTTTTTTATCAAAACATTTTAAAATAAAAAAAACAACCAAGTTAACCCACCGACCTGGGAGGTTAAATGGGCTGCTCACAGATTGGTCGGGGGCAAGATTCCTCAGTTTACATGGGTTGATTGGACTGGCCAGCTCGCGATTTCTGATCTAATCCAACCAGTTTAGGTCTCGTTTGGATGGGTAGTAAAAAAATAACTTATTTTTAATCTAATTTTTAGAAAAATAAGATTGGATAAAAGTTAAATTAGATAAGCTGAATTGTGTTTGAATTAGAGTTTAAAAAAATTATTTTGTAAAAGTAAAATTGCTAAAAGGTTGTTTGAATTATAATTGAGTAAAAATAAGTTTGTGTGAGTAAAAAAAATAAACCCACATTTTATCATACTCTCTCTACTTTTCCAATACTATAAGCTGTAATTTTTAGTTTTGGGCTTAAGTATGTGATTTTGGCATAAACTTTTAATTTTTTAAGCTCTTCCAAACACACTTAAATATATTAAAAGTACTTTTAATGTTAAATGCTACTTAAAAGTCACTTAAACGTGGCTCCAAACAGGTATGGCTCTCAAAATGTGTTTATCTTTTTATTTAAAAAATATATCTGATATGAAACTCGGAACTAACAATTTTCTCATAAATGATGCCATGTTGTCAACATGAATGATTTTTACTGTAGTGTTTTGTAAATATTTTTACGGTGAAGTATTTAGGTAATTTTTTCACTGTTTATAGTATTTTAATAAAAATGTCCTTCATTATAAGATTATTTTTATTTTAAATTCATATCTATTAAACTAAAAGCTGTTCAAAATATTTTTTGAAAAAATAAATTGAATGCTTCATATTGAAATGTAGGGTTTTCTTGAACCGTCTCTTTGTTAATTAACAGTTAGTTTTACAGTGGCTTTATATATTATAAAGATATGATATGATTTTAGTTATTTTTAGTATTTTAACTTTGTACACAGTTCTTTATATATAAAAATGCTTCATTTCGGACTTGGCTTTTCAAAAATATATCTTTTCGTGTTGAAAATATCTTAAACTACCTCTGGTCTTTAATATAAGATCTTATTTAATTTTTATTTTAGTCTTAAATATAAGATTTTAATCCACTTTGTCTCTCATATTTATGTATTTTTTTTTTCAAAATAGTCCTTATAACAATAATAGTTCTAACCAATATATTTGATTAGTAAAAATATTTTAAGAAAGACACCACCTATATATTACAAACAACTAATTTAATTTCTTTTTTTAACATCATCAAATTAGTCGACCAGCTCTTGTAATTAGACAGTACTTTCCATGTTGAATTCAAAAAGTAAACGAAAGCCAATAAGAAAGGGCAAAACAATTAAGTCGGAGAACAGGAAATAAAAACAGAGGGGTCTAAAATGGGCAGTACTACATAATTAATCATGATTGTATTTAACGGTAAACAAATTCCCCTTTGATTATCAATTGTAATGCTTTAGCTCCGTGGCACTTGTTTAAAATCCCCCAATTCTTAGGGACAAATAACCAAATTTCATCCCTAAATGTCAAGTTAATTAATTCTGTAAAATAAAAAAATTTGTGTTCTAGAAGCCACTCCATCTGTTCTCTTTTATAAAATTTAATTATTGGGTGTGCCTTATTCTTTTTTATGAAAGACGCTTAGATGTTGTTTAAAAATTTATTTATAAACTTCCCATTTTGTCCTCATTTAATTACACATTCTCTCCTCATCACATTTTTTTTTCATTCACATTAAATGAGGGCATTTTTAGAAAATAAGATTTATTTTTTAACCTATTTATTACACCAAATTACTCCTCCGGTCCTTAATATAGGACCCAATTTTTGAGTTAGTTTTGGTCCTAAATATAAGACCCATTTCTCATATTTATTAATTTTCTCTAAATTACCCCTATAGATACTCAACTATAATTAAGTAAAAGAGAGAGGGGGTATTAAGAAAGATGATTATGGTGTTTTAGGAAAAATGTGTCAATTTTCTTATAATTAACTAACTTACCTAACTTCCTTAATCTAATCAAATTAGTTAAATGGGTCTTATATTAAGGATCGGATGAGTAATTTTTATTAATTATATCTTATTAAAAAAAAAAAAGAGGGAGTAATGGTCAGCAGCTTCAGTCAAACAGGGCGACTTACCTCGGCAGCCCTCTGGTTCTCTCTCCTTATTTTGCAGTCCCAATCCAACTACTTGCTTCTTCCCTCCTCTGCAGCTCCCATTCACAGTGTGGTCTCTCTCTTCAGGTAAATTTCGCTGACCGGCTCGTTGGGTTTCTTTCTCAATTTTTTTTGTTCCATTTGTCCTTTCTAAATGTGGAAGCTTCGGGAATTTGAGAGGCGGGGGCGGGAATGATTTTGGATGCCCTCTCCCTCTCCACTGAATCCTGTTTTGATTCTTTCCGCTGAACCTACCTTTCTTCAGTGGCGTCCTCTTCTTTCTTTCTGTGGAATTGCTTCTACTTACCGTAATGAGCTTTTGCTCCAAGCCATTGGCTAGTTTCTTGTATGCACTGCTTGTAGCGTGACACCTGCATCCTGGGTTTCTTGATTTTTGTTCTATTTTGGCGTTTTTCTGATCAGGTTTTGGTCTTTCTTTTTCTATACCCAGACAAGTAGTTGGATTATTGGGCATGTCTGCTCGAGGTTTAATGTGCTCCTCTCTGGTGATAAAGAGACTGAGCTCGTGCGGATGCAAGTCAATACTCTGAGCTGAGCTCTGACTGTGAGAGGAACGGAGCTTCTTCTTTTTCTTCTTCCTCCTTCCTGGTTCTTGCGTCTTACTCTGTCCGCAGGCATGTTGGCCCAGAAGAAGAATGATTCATCCCAAAAGCTCTCACATTCAGAAACCACCATTGATGCTGCTTACTTAGAAAACGGTAACTTCTGCTTTTAGAAAAGAAGAAATTGGGTGATCCCTTTCAAATATAGTATTAGATAATTGGTGGTGAATAGACTGACTCATTCGCAACTGGATAAAGACTAATGGCAGTCAGTGCATTCTTGTTAATAATATCTGTACTTCACTTATCGAGAAGATTAAATAATCTTCTAACGGATCACATAATCCGTAGTTTATCCTAATTTTGCAGATGTATTGGGGATGACCTCAACTCCGACTGTTCCAAGACCCATGCCGGATAAAATTTCTCCGGCTTCTCTCATCAAGCACGATACAGAGATGGCCGAGAAGCTGGAAGTGGTAACTGATAGACCTGAGTCGATTTTGGGTTTGAGGGAGAGTACTGTATGGGGAAATTGTTCACATCTCAAAGATCGTGTGGCCTCATTCATGAAAGCCCCCATCGCTGCAAAACTTGTGGTGGTGGGAGGAGCTCTTGTTTCCTTGATTGCAGTGCTTTTACGGCGTATAATAATAAGGCCTCAATTTCGTGTCTACTTGGGAATAAGGAGACCCAACATTAACAACTCCCCACTGGTTTGCCTCAAATAAGCTTCTCTTTATTGTTTTGCTCTTTTCCACTTGTTAATAAGTCTCGCAGCTTCACAAATGCCATTCTTTGAATGGATCATGGAAGCCATAATTTTGGTTGAACTTCTTCTTCCTGTCATCCGACTTCTTTGCTTGCTGCTGCGGCCTCTGTTCCTCTACTTCTTCTCAAGAAAGGAGGTCAACCAGGACGAGGTGTGCCATTTCGCCCTTCTTTCTTAGGCAAACAAGGATTAATTACTTTTATGTTTATGAGGCATTTGATCTTTTCTAGATACTTCTTTAGTTTTTAATATAGGACTTAATTATTGAGTTGATTTTGGTCCTAAATATAAGACTTATTTCACATATTTATTAATTTTTTCTAAATTATCTTTATAGATACTTTTTCAACTATAATTAAGTAGAAGAGGGAGGGAAAATATCAAAACAGATAATTATAGTGTTTTAAGAAAAACATGTTATATTTCTTATAATTAGCTAACTTACTTAATTTTTAAGCTAATCAAATTAGTTAAATAAATCTTATTTAAGGATCGGAAGAGTAACACAAAACTATAATAAAATAAAAGCTATCACATTTAATGAGTTCGTTTCCCAGTGGAGTGGAATTCCTGTAGAAACTTGCTGTGTAATGGTTGCTTCACAGGAAGGAGATATCAACTCTATTGAAGAAGCTATCAACATTGATAGGGTCATTCAAGAGGATGATTCTGCTGTTAATTCAGTCTCTCGTACCACCAATCTTAGCCCATGGGAAAGAGTGGAACGTATTGGGGCTGGTGGATATGGGATTGTTTATGTTGCACGCCATAGGTATATGAGTAAACTCGCTTTTTGATCTTATCGTCTTAGTTTTAATTTCTTAGTAAGAAATATGTGTTCTTCATTCCTGACAGGGAAACCGGAGCCTTTTGTGCAGTAAAGGAACTGAATGACATTCACAAACTTCCGAAGGTAGAATCTTTTAAAAGGGTACGTCTTATATATGTTATTACAATTACTTTGTCAGCTTATACAATCCTCCACAAGTGAATAAAATGATTATATTCTCACAGTTCATTGTCTCAAATTAAACATGACTATAAGGTATCTGTGTTTTCAGGAAATCAAAATTCTCAGCCAACTGGAACATCCAAACATTGTAAAGTGTTATGGAAATAAAATAGTAAGCACTCTCCTAATTGAAGCTGATGAGGGAACTATATACAATTAATGAATCACTTACTGGTGCATGCATATAATTAGATTGGACGCCACATATTTCTATACATGGAATACATCCAACCAGGTTCACTGAAGAAATATATCTCAGAACGAGGGGGTTTACTTGAGCCTTTAATTCAAAATTTCACTGCACAAATTCTCTCTGGGTTGGATTACCTGTGTAATGAAAGAGTTGTTCACAGGTATAATCCCATACTTACATGGAATGCTGCATTGAGTTCTGGTCATTTAACACATGCATCTAGTAGGACAATTAATCATTAACTATGTTTACTGGGATTGTCATAATTAATTTATTCCCCCATCTCTCATTCTTTCTCACTTTGATTATACAGGGACATAAAGCCAGACAATCTACTTGTCGATTCTAACAACATAGTAAAGCTGGTTGACTTTGGTGTGGCGAAGCATGTAAGTTCTTGGATATCTTGTACAACATGCATTCATGTGACAAAATCTAGGTCATTGATTTTTGAACATGAGACTTTATATCTGCGGTAATTTAAGATGGTGTTTCATGTTTAGGATTGAGTATGCGTGTCCGATAGTATCGGTGGCCTGTCAAATGTCCTTGGGATTGATATGATAATCCCAAGAGTGAGTAATATTGATGACTTAACTGGCTTTTTTCTGTGTTGAATAGCTAGCAGAATCTGTGGGCCAGCACTCCACGCCGGGAACTCCATATTATGCAGCCCCAGAGGTTCATATTTCATATACTCTACATTATGCGTCACAAAGTATTCTTAATAGACTTGTTAATTTCTCAAACATACAGGTTCTTAAAAGAATAGAATATAAGAGCTGGCTTGAAGCTTCTGCTGAGATATATGGAGTTTAGGTGTTGTAATCATTGAAATGTTCTCAGGGGAGCATCCTTGGCCTGATCTTGATCCGGTAAACACTTTTAAACTTCAGTATGTTATATATAGAGCGAACATTGCTTTAGATGATGTATGGATCTGATTTATTAATTTAGTATATAACTAAAACAAATTCATTAATAAAAGCAGGTGAATGCCTCTTTAAAGTTTGCGGTAAAGAGGAACATCCACCCATTCCAGAAGAGTTAAGCAAGAGGGTAAAGATTTTCTTCAACTGCTTCCGAAAAACTCGGCCGATCGGCCTTTCTCTGCAGCATTGCTAGACCATCCTTTGTGAAAGCACAAACAACTTAGCTTGGTGGTGGAAGAAATGTTGGGAGCATTGGGAGATTTTAGTATGACAGATATGTATAGCTAAGGCCTTTATTAGTTTATATATATATACAACAAGAATCATCGATTCATTCTTCATCAAGAATTTTGTATATCGACCTCTATATGTCTTCAGTTTCAAAAGAAGATCGATGGTAAATATATGGTTGCTGTTTGTCATCTTTTGTTACTGTTATTCTGCCAACTTAATAATATTTAGAGTTCAAATGATAGCTCAGTCCAATCTTTTAGTTTTGCAGATATAAAGAGTCAGAAATCAAAAAAAAATCCAATCAATCAGAAAGTCATAATTGCAAGTATTTGTGGATGCTAGCTCCCTCGGCCTACAAATAAATAAATAATGTCTCTCTCTCGTACCTTACGTATGTTTGTTGCATGTCCATGCAGGCCGTGAATATTCATCAGTATCAATCTAGAAGCTAATATATATACATATATATGAGAGAGCACATGAAATGATGAACAGTTCCGCACATGAAATGATGAAAACAGTTCAGTCAAATGCTGGGTTCACATTTGAATTTTAATGAATTTGTCGGATCTATTCAATGTATTCGAAGTTTGACGTTGTCATTGTCAATGATACTGCGTGTTTAACACGGTAGATCTAAAAGAAAGGAATCTAGTCTAGATTTTTCTTATATTAAAGAGAGGGATATTGAGCAGTTCCATAACGCGTCCAAGGAATTAATTGGCAGTCCGGTCTCAACAGATTCTGTTGGAAATTTTTCTGAGCTGAAAGATTTTCTTGGAAATTAAATTAGAATCAATTTAAATAATTACTTAAATAATTACAAGTGTGAAGTCTAAGCAGATGTTAATTAATACTACTTCGGATAATTAATTGTGTAAACTTAATAAAATTAGTTAATTTATTATAACAAATGTGTCTTAGTTTTTCTAAATCATCCTATTTAATCATGTGTATTAGAAATACTACTTAATTGGGAGCCTCCTTAATACTAATTTCGGTTCTGAATATAAGATCTGTTTGACTTTTATTTTTATCGTAAATAAAAATCCCAATTCATTTGTCTTTATATTTAGGCATTTTTTTCAAAATAGTCTTTTCTAATAATGGTAGTTCTAGTCAATACACTTGATTAGCAAGAATATTTTAGGAAAGACAATATCTATTTATTGCAACTAACTAACAAATTATTTCTTAATCTTCTCAAATTAGTCAACTAATTTATATAGTTAGGATTGAAGGTAGTATATACAATTAATATTAATACTTCGAGCAAAAAAATTATAAATTTAGGAAAAAAGGTAGTATATACAATTAATATTAATACTTCGAGCAAAAAAATTATAAATTTAGGAAAACAAAATGGACTGAATCATTACCGTAAATTTTTTTTTTCTAATTCTGATATTTAGAAGTAGAAGTATAGTAATAGTGAAGTATAATATATAGCTTGCAACTTGAACTCTCATATTTAGAACTTTCTGAATTATTATTTCTGAATTATTATTTATAATTATTTTTTAACAAAACTTTTTGCACACGAAGAGAGAGACAAATAGCCAGTCCAAAGAGACGGCTATTGTGGATTGACCATTTCGTAGGACCATTTTGGCAGCGTATAGCCGTATTACATATGCGCTGATGCTGCTGCTACAAAGCTTCTACTTATAACTAGAAACTTTCCCCATGCCATGCATGGGTTGGTTGATGCAGCTATATGTCATATTCCAATGATATCAATTCTAATTGTTTTCTTTTCTTTTTAAGAATCATGTTAATGAGGACCAAATATCATGCACAAATTAAAATAATATTAATTTGGCATGAGCATAAATGCATGGTAAGGTGGTAAATGATTTATAATTCGATGTATATGAAAAATGCTGGCAAATCATTAATCTTCCTCTAGTAATAACCATATGAAACGCAATCAATACATAATATTATAATGGGAAATCAATATTGTATTAATAAAGGTTCTATAAGGAAAAAAAATATATGACATGAAAAACATTGTTAGTATGATTGAATAATGATTTAAATAGGTAATTGGACGGAATAATAACATCTGTTACTGTGTGTGTTAACTTAGCGATGATTGTTTCTTTGCGTTACAGTATAATTGATAACGTTATATTAATTGAAAGTTAAAAAACACCTCACTTTTATTAATTTTTGAAAATATTACACAGACCACATCATCAAAAGGTCAAAAAATAAAGGTCCTATACTATATCTATAAATATAGAGTTAGCACATTGCAACTCCCCGTCTGTACTTATCATCTTCAATCATCATATTAAGAGAGAAACCAATACTGCACTACCTTTGAGTTCAGTGAATGATTTGGATCGATTTTGACATATACTTGAGGAGATCTTTACCACAAAAGCATATCTATATAGAGAAAAAACAACCTTGTACTACTCCGGTCCTAAAATAAAAACTCTTTTTATAGTATAAATTACACTACAAAAAGGATCTTATATTTAGAACTGGAGAAGTAGTTTGTAATCTAACCTTCCCTGTTCACCAAAAACTCTTTTATAGTATAAATTACACTACAAAAGGATCTTATATTTAGAACTGGGAAGTAGTTTGTAATCTAACTTCCCTGTTCACCACAAAATGGGAGAAGAACTTGAAACACTACAAGATAAATAGATATTGGATTAGATTTGCAAACATAATTAGGAATGTTGAGCTACAAGGCGTTTATTTTATATTTATATTTAAGAAAGATTATAGCCAAAGATTAGCAATCATTCTAGATTTAATGCAAAGAAAGGAATGATAGAATGATGAAAGCGAAATGAAGTTAAAAAAAAAGATTCTTTTTCCAGAAAAGAAAATGATTCAACAAATCACACCACTATTTGAAACTCCAAGAGAAGACACAACTACTATTCACAGATGATTAGAAGGGACCTCAAAAAAAATACAAGAGATGACCATGTTTTCTCACCAGGAGGATAAAGCTGCTTCACGTCATCATGGGGATGGCTTGAATTGAGTGACAAACAAAGCAAATGAAGAACGTCTGGATATGGAGGGGCTCTATGATTATTCTAAGGTGGCCGTTTAATCATATTTATTTGGAAAAATAATTGTATTGAAAAGGAAAAGACGCTGTAATCAATGCAGAAGGGGATTCATTTTGAACGGATATATTGAAGACTTGGTTAACGGAAGATGATAAGTAGCGAATTTATTGAGATTTGAAGGTGAACCAATCCATTTTAACTCAAACGGGTATTACAAAAACCGATCCATTTTAACTTAAACGGGTATTAAAAGTAGATTACTAACTGTATAGTGTCCGTACATAATAGTTGAATATTAAATTACCATTTCAAGTCATGATTTCAGCTTAATTTAAAATAAAATATCATTAAGCTTTTGAAATCTGCAATACAGATCCATTATCAACATTTTTAGAAATATGCTATATATTTAGATATATAAATGGATGTTCCTTTAAAAAATTGAATTAATGGAGGAGACAAAATGGTTAATGGATTGAAACTCAAATATTTGATTATATTCAATAATTACACAGATAATGTCATGGTCAATAATATTATATTGGACAAATATGATATCTGATTCTATATTGTAAAAATAGGCTATTTAATGGAAGAAAAATTAATGGCGACAAAATCGTTATTGAGTTAAAATATTTTGAATTAGATTTCAAAATAATTCATAAATAAAAAATAATAAATATTTCAGGTATAAATAATAGTTTAGATTTAGGGCGTAGGATATTATTTTCAATATACTAATAGACCAGCTGAAATTAAATTTCAAGCATAATTAATTTTAAATAATACAACCAAATTTCAAATTTTGAACACATATCATGCCTCACATATATGCCACGATTTTCAGGATAAGAGAAGTTATGTAATTTTATTTATTTTTTCTTAATTTAAAATATTTGCATATAAAGGGTATTTTGGTTTTTACAAAAAATAGAAAAAATAAGGCTCATTATTGGAGATAATTGCAATAAATTTTTTAATAAATCAGAATTAATTGAATTAATCAAAAAATTATAATTAAAAAGTAGATTTATCTACCGTTAACGAAAATAATTATTTTGCAAAAATAAATAGAAAGACATGAAACATGCACTCAAATAAATATGATCGAACAAATTCCCAAGAAAAACGCATAAATAGAGAGATCATGGGTAGAAATGTAGTTTTAACAAAAATAAAAAATAAAAAATTTATCTGCAAACAATTCAACTAAAATATAAATAAACAATACATCCCAAGAATTCAACTAAAACCATTTAAATAAAAAGTACTGTATTATGAGAAATAACTAACTGATTC